TTATTTTATTTTTTTCCAGTACCAGGGATCGAACTCAGGACCTTGCACTTGCGAGGCAGGCGCAGTGCCACTGAGCTAAATCCCCAGCTTATTTTTATTTATTTATTTTTGGTACCGAGGATTGAACTCGGGTCCTTGTGCTTGCGCAGCAGGCGGCAAAACCACTGAGCTAAATCCGGCTTATTTTTAGATTTAGTAAGCACACAAATAGTTGATGTTGAAAATGTTGATGTTTATTGTAATCACTCATTACATATTAAAATTTTGATGTTTTATTTTATTGATATTTTATTTTCCTGTTAAGTATACATTATTTAATATAATAAAACTCATAAAATTAATAATTCATCAATAGAAATATTTTTTAAAACTAAAAAATAATCATGGGCATTATACACGCACCATAATATGCCCTTCAAAAAATTTCTTGTGAGGGCTGAGGATTTAGCTCAGTGGCACCGTGCCTGCCTTTCAAGTGCAATGTCCTGAGTTTGATCCCCAGTAGCGCAAAAAAAAAAAATTTCTTGTGATGTCCCTGGGATTGTGAGTCTAAATCTCTGTAAGAAACAAGTGACACAGATTTTTTGTTTTTGTTTTTTTTTGGTACCAAGGATCAAACTCAGGACCTTGTGCTCTAGAGGCAGGCAGAGGCACCACTGAGCTAATTCCCCGGCCCACAAGATTTTTAATTTATACACTCCCCTTTTATTATAGGCAGCTAAATTAGGTAGAAATAGTATAGGCAGTCAGACAGGGCTAGGCCGTCTAGAGAGTCAGTACAGAAGATGGAAACACATCAAAAACCGGCTGGAGGAGCATCTGAAGAAGATTGAAGTCACAATAGCCAGATTTACATACTTCCCTAAGGAAGCTTGTGATTACTGGTACCTCCCTTTTGAAATTTCCCCTTATATAAACCATCATCTTATTAGGGATAGGCCATCTTCTCCCACCTACTAAGGCTAAGATTACCAAGATTAAAACTATAGATTATCGGGCCCGGGATTTAGCTCAGTGGTTCCGGTGCCTGCCTCATAAGCCCAAGGTCCTGAGTAAGGTCCCTGGTACCAAAAAAAAAAAAAAAAAAAAGACTATAGATTGTGAGACCAAGATGAACCTAAAAAACGCCATCTTGGCCTGTAGATGAACGACCCTCGTACCCCTCCCCTTACAGAGTGCTCATTTTTGTAACCACTCGTTCTGCTTCTGTAAACTTGCTTCGCTGCTTCTCGGAAACGGGTGGTGCCTGCTGCCTCCCCGTAATCACAAAATGTCCTAACCTGACAAGATAGCAAGATAGCTGAGTTGTGAAAAAATGTTTTGCAACTGAGTAAGAAAACATGTAGACGCCCCCCACCCCAACTTCTTTACATAACCATCTATAAAAGCTGTGCTGTCATATAACAACCTATAAAAGCCGTGCTGTTCCCGGACTCGGCGCTTCACTCTGCTAGAGGGTGGAGTCCACGCCTGTGAATAAACTCCTTTCAGTTTTCACTTTGTGGTTTGTCCCAGTGTTTGGTGATTTACCGGCTTGCTTGGTACAACATAGATTATGGACCAAGGATACCAATGTCATCCTTATGTCCTTGCTACTATTGGATCAATATCAGCTAAGTGGTTTGGGGTGGGAGTGTTGAGACAGGGTCTCACTTTGAAGTTCAGGCTGGCCCTGAACTAGCTATGTAGCTATGTAATCCAGACTGGCTTGAACTTGCAGCAATCCTCCTGCCCCAGCCTCCAGAGTGCTGGGGTTACAGACATGAGCCACCACACCCAGCCAATAAATAAAATATTTTAAATAGATAATATAATTTTTAAATATGAAGTTCAGGGAATTATCTAAGAACTGAGAAACTGTGATGACTATTTGTCCTATTCAGATGGAATCTGAAACATAAAAGAGTTTTTAAGGGCAAAATGAATATCAACAGTTTTGATGTTTCATGAGATTCATGTAACAAACAGCTCAAAACAGTTTAATAATTGGATTGGACTTTTCTCAGGATTTCAAATTTGTATAATAATTATCAGCCATCTGTGAGACCCAATTTATAGATCTAGACCAGATTGGATGCTTTTTTTTTTTTTTGTACCGTGGATCGAACTCGGGTCCTTGAGCTTGCACAGCAGGCAGTGAAACCACTGAGCTAAATCCCCGGCTATTGGATGCTTTTTATAGTCAAATAGTGTTCAATGTCTTTGGTCTATATCTTCTGTATTTCACAGAATTTTAGAAAATCCAGTAGGCAGTGATCTAGTCCAGTATCAGGAAGACTCCAGTTTTATTTCTTTTCTTTTTTGGTACCGGGGATTGAACTCGGGACCTTGGACTTGCAAGGCAGGCGTCAGAACCACTGAGCTAAATCCCCGGCCCAAGACTCCTGTTTTAAATGTTAATTTTCAATGAAATGAGCGAAGATCTAATTTATTCTACAAATGGGAGTTGGGAAGGAGTTGGGGAAGGCTAGTAAGTAAGTTCCTTTAAATTTATGATGTGTTATTATTATAGGTGTTATTATTATTGTTACTCCAGCCTCAGGCTACCTCTTGGATAGGTTGTAGAGATAAGAATATGTATTTGAGGGAGTCTGTAAATGCAAAGTTACACTAGTGACAACATTAATAATCATTAGTAGTGGGGGCTGGGGATTTAGCTCAGTGGCACTGTGCCTGCCAAGGGCAAGGTCCTGAGTTTGATCCCTGGTACCACACACACAAAAAGATAATAATAAACATAATCATAATCATAATCATAATCATAATCAGTACCACCGATTTTCATTAGGAAACTTCTATATATTTTTCTGTCTTATATAAATCTCTAAAAAATTTGGTTTTGAGCCAGGGATTTAGCTTAGTGGTGCTGCTGCCTGCCTGGCAAGCTCAAGGTCCCAAGTTTGATCCCCGATACAAAAAAACAAAACAAAACAAAAATTTGGTTTCACTCTCAATGAAATGTGAATATGTCTCTATGTGTGTGTATGTATGTATTTTAAATGTCTTAATAAATCCCTATTGTATATGAAACAAATTGTATACATCCAAATAAATTTTATGAGTGCAGGAGATGGATTAATTAAAAAAAAAAAATTCACAACAGGTCCGGGGATTTAGTTCAGTGGTTCCCCCACCTGCTTTGCAAGCACAAGATCCAGAATTCGATCCCCGGTACCAAACAAACAAACAAACAAACACCACAACAAAATAAGGGTTGTGGTTGATTCAGATCTGTGCTATTGAAGTCCATTAAAAATTAAGAGCAAGGGAAAGGAAATCCTATCAAGGTTGTTCTACGCTAAAGAATAAACAGTACAGCTGTTACCTCTAACTGCAGCCTTAATAGTAATTCTCTCTCATTTTTCTTTATTCGCAGTTTCTAATCCTATGGTACATGTAGAGTGGAGAATTAAAAGTCAAAGTCATAAAGCGCAATATAAAAAGTACTCAGCACTGACACCAGTGCAGCCTCATTCTCAAACACACAAAAGCCCTTTGTGAACGCGGCCAGTTCAGTCCCCCAGCAGAGCATTCCTCGGAGAATACAGCCAGGCATCCCGGGGACAATGGCTCAGTTAGAGCCCACAGACCCAGGTCATCAGCACAGGCCACGTTGGCACAGCACGTGGGGAACACACCGGGTTGTTTACCAATTACTATACCAAGCAAAAGAGGCCATTCCCCTGCTACTAGGAAATAGTAAACCATTTGGCAAATATTCTCCTGGGTCATAAGATACAGAGATGTTTGAATGTATCTAATTTTTCTTATAATCTTTTTTTTTTTTTTTTTTTGGTACCAGGGATCAAACTTGGGACCTTGCGGTTGTGAGGCAGGCACCAGAACCGCTGAGCTAAATCCCCAGCCCTGAATGTATCTAATTTTTAAGAAGAAAAATGGAGAATGAAAAATGTTAATACTAATTATTATTATTTTTTAAATAAAAGAGAGCTGGCCGTGCATAGTGGTGCATGCCTGTGATCTCAGCACTCGGGAGGCTGAGGCGGGGGATCGCTGAGAGTTTGAGACCAGCCTGTGCTACATAGTGAGTTCAAGGTCACCCTGAACTAATAATGGGGCCGTCTCAAAAAAACAGAGAAAACAATGAAAAAAAGAAAGAAAGGAAGGAGGGATGGAAGGAAAGAAGGAGAGCTATAGATGTGACTTGTTCAAAATGTCCAAGTTTCAAAAATCCAAGCTAGCTGGGCATGGTGGCACATGTCTCTCATCCCAGCACTTGAGAGGCTGAGGCAGGAGGATCACCATGAGTTCAAGGCCAGGCTGAGTTACACAATGGATTCAAAACCACAACCCTTGAATTCAACTACATAGTGAAATACTATCTCAAAAAAAAGGTAAAATGTTATTTTATTTATTTATTTATTTATTTTTAAATTTTTGTTAGGTCTCACTTTGTTTTTGTTTTTGGTGTGTTTTTTTTTGAAATTTAAAGAAAAAATTTATTGAAGATCTGAAAAACAATTCCTAAAAGACTGACTTTTCCAGAAAACTGTAGCTACACAATGCATTGTGTCTATCGTGTTAAAATGTGCATTAGACACAAATACAAAAACCATGAAAAAATTCATCATTCTTCAACAGTTTGAGCAAAGAGAAAATGCCTAAGGAACAACATGAATGACTTGCAAAGGATGGGCTCTTTAAGCACCGTTTAAAAAAAAAAAGCACAAATGGATGAGTGTGTTCAGTTATATACACTGAATTGGACCTTTGGCACTAGGAATCAGAGCATTTTGTCATATAGCATTAACATGTATTATAAAAGTGAGTAGTGTCAAAGGAATAGAACCACCAGCATTCAAGAGCAGCTTTGTCAACTAGGCAATAAAACACTACATCATGTCTCTTTGTTGTCCATCATTGAATACACTGGTAGCAACTTTGAAATGAAAAAAGAAAAAAGGAGCTGCAACTCCTTTTATTTTGTTTAAAATCAAAACAAACATCAACTCTGTTACACACTAACATCTTCAAAGTACATCATTTGTACAAGAGAAGGACTAGGAACAAAAACCTGTTGACAGAGATCCAAACACCGGTGAGAGTGCCTCACACTGCTTTCAATGGTACTCAGGAGGGGCCACTTCATAATCACTGGCACTAAACAAAGTTGCTGAATTCTTCGCCAGCTACTTGAGGAAATCATGAAGATAATTCAGAAATAAAGCAAGGCTTTTCTCATCCAGAGGTGTGTAGGCTGACATCACTCCAATTCGTACAAATAATCTCAGTAGATGTGGTGCTCCGTACACTTGCGACATAGGTGCATCAGGGTGATCAGCAAGGATTTCAGCATACTGTGGTCTCTCAAATTTGTAGAGGATCTGAGTGCCCAGCATCACATTGAAGTATTCTGTAAAATGTTATTTTAAAAAGTCAGTCCTTGGCCAGGTGTGGCGGCACACACCTGTAATCCCAGCACTCTGGAGGCTGAGGCAGGAGGATTGCTGTGATTTCAATCCCAGCCTAAACTAATAATAAGACCCTGTCTCAAAAAAAAAAAAAAGTCAGTCCCTTCTGCATTTCTTCTAGGGAAAAGAGACTTGAAGAAGTACTGGTTAGCATGTTCAGCTTGCCTCTTCAGAAAAAGATATTATGGTTTGGTAAAACACTGGCTTATTTATTTTTAATATTTTATATTATTATCATTATCATTATCATTATTATCTTTGTTTCCAGTACTCAGAATTGAACCTAGGACCTTTACACTGAGCTACATCCCCAGCTGTATTTAATTTTTTTTTTTTAATTTTGTGACAGGGTATTGCTGTGTTGCTAAATTGCTCAGCCTGTTCTTGGGCTTGCAATCTTCCTGCTGCAGCCTGCCAGAGTCCTGGGATTATAGGTGTGTGCTACCATGCTTGGCTAAAGCCCAGGTCTAAACAAATACTGTCTTTACTGCAGTATTTTTTTTTTTTTTTTTTTGGTACCGGGGCTCAAACTCAGGTCCTTGCGCTTGCGAAGCAGGCACTGTAACCACTGAGCGAAATCCCCGGCCCACTGCAGTATTTTTTAGGGTATTTAACATGCTAACATACATTGTGGCTTTCTGTGAGAAGTCAAAACAGAAATGGAGAGTGATCCTCAGGTGTTTCCAAACTTACTTCTTCCCACTATCTTTCTTTCCTCTTAGGACCATTGTTCCAAGGAGCACCCTTTGGGAAACACTGTTGTAGTAGTTCGAGAAAGAGTTCATTCCATATTAAGCATGCATTTGTTCATATCTAAAGGTGCACTTCTCATTACACATAGTTTGTGTCCAGATCTAAGTTATTCAAATTACAGATTTTTAAAATATTAAACTGACTTTACTTAAAAAAAAAACAACCTTTGGTTGTCTTATATTACCCTTTTTATGTATTGCTGAATTTGGTTTGTTAAAAATGTGTTTAGCACTTTTCACAATACTCAAGAGATGATAAGTGTCCATTAACAGAGGACTGAAATAAGAGAGCATGGTATGCATGCACATTGGAATATTATGCATCCATAAAAAGAATGAAATCTGGTCATTTTCAATGACAGCGGTGGCCTGAAGGGCAAGTGAAGTAAGCCATGCACAGATGTAAAGTACTGCATGATACTCATTGTGTCTCTTGCTTTTCGCTATTGTGTCAAAACCTGAGAAAAACAATTTAGAGAAGGAGGAGAGGCTTATTTTAGCTCAGGGTTTCAGAGATTTCAGTCCGTGGTCAGCTGGCTCCATGGCTTCAGGCTTATGGAGAATTTGGTGGTGGAAGGGTCTGGCAAAGCAGCAAGACTTGGAGTGGGGTGGGAGGAGCAGACTAGAAACTACCTCCCATGATGCACTCTGCTCGGCCAGGCCCTGCCTCCTGTTCCTATGACTCCCAATAATGCCTTCACAGCATGATCTCATCAATGGTTCAATCCACTCCTTAGAGTCCTCCCCAAAGCTCATCAGCAACCAAACCTTCTACACAGGAAGCCTCTTTATCCAAGCTGTAACACTCACTTTTATAGGAAATATAAAAATGGTGAGGCACATACCTGTAATCCCAGTACTTGGGAGGCTGAGGCAGGAGGATAGCAAACTGGAGCCCAGCCTAGGCAATTTAGCAAGACCTTATCTCAAAATAAAAATTGAAAAGGGCTTAGTGTGTGCAAGGTCCTGAGTTCAATCCCCAGTACCAAAAACAAACAAACAAACAAAAAAGGGCTTAGTGTGAAGGCCCTGAGTTCAATCCCCAACATTATACACACACACACACACACACACACACACACACACGAACACACACAAAGTTGTTCAATAAGAGTTAAGTTCTAGTACAGTTGTGTAACTATAGACAATGGTCATGTATTGTGTATTTATAAAAGTTGGAAGACCAGCCTGGGCAACATAAACACCAGTCTGGTTACTTTTCTCATTGCTGAGACAAAATACCCAACATCCAAAGTTAGAGGAGGAAAAGCTTATTTTGGCTCACAGTTTGCAGAGGTTTCAGTCCATAGTTGGCTGGCTCTAAGGCAGGGTGGCTTGGCAGAGGGGCATCAAAGAGAAGAAACAGTCCATGGCAGGCAGAAGGCAGCAAGGTGGCAAGGCGGCAACAAACCACAACCCTCCCTCTGTCCCTCAGGTTACATTCTTACCCTTAGGGCCAGTAGCACTCACACCCAGAGTGGGGCACCCTTAATTCTCTGTGCCAAACCAGTCAGTGGACTGATTTAGTAATCACACACCCCTGATCCCAGCATCACATGCTCTAGATCCAGCCACCTCTAAAAAGCCCTGCTTATGACTGCATGAGGCTTTAGGGAGACATCTAGACACAAGCCATAACAACTTCCATCTCAAAAAACAAACAAACAAAACAAAACAAAAAAACCTCCAAAAGAGCCAGGTATGGTGGTACACACTTGTAATCCCAGCACTCAGGAGGCTGAGGCAGGAGGATTACCTTGAGTTCGAGGGCAGCCTGGGCTACATAGTGAATTCAAGGCCATCCTGAACTATGTAGTGAGATCCTGTCCCAAAAAACTAAAAGGAAAAACAAAACAAAACAACCAGATAAACAAAAACCCCCAAAATAACTTTTCAGCAAGATACCATGAATGATGAGCAAAAACTAACCTGTTAATTCTGGTAATCTCATTTGGCCTCCACCAATCAGTAGCCACCACAGCCAAAGACAGTCTTTCCTCACATCCTTGGGTGCCCAGTTCCAAGCCAAGCCAACAGACGAAGTGTAACCCCACTCTGAGGTTGACGTCATAGCAGTAGCATCTTCTGCTTCTTTTGTTGTTAAACTGTCACCAGGCCTGGGAGTAGGCTGAGGCAGGAAGGTCCCTAGGACATGACATTTAAGAAGCTGCTCCTTTCTCTCTCTCTTTCTCTTTTTTTTTTGGTTCCAGGGATCTAACTCAGGTCCTTGCACTTTCAAGGCGGGCAGCAGAACCACTGAGCTAAATCTCCAACCCTGGAGCTGCTCCTTTTTGAGGTACATTCTGCACTTGTACTTGCTCAACGAAGAGTAAGCTCCTCCCTACTTTTTGCACCCTAGGCATTTCTCTTGTCTCACCCTAGTCTCAGACTGGTATCCCCAAGTAGAAGGCATCTGATATGGTGTGATGGCAAAGGCGTCATCTGCAGTTTGGGAGGGAGAAGGTGGGTTATTTGCAGAGAAGGTGACTCTAAAGCTAGCTGGGGAAGGTGAAGGTAGTCACTGTGGAAAAGTGAGGCAAGTGATAAGAAGTTGATAAGAAGGATTTTAGTCTGGGGGTAGGAAAAGAGACAGAGACTTGGGTTCAGGGATATAACCGGCTAATAGGATGAAATTAAACAGTTAGATCATAGGAGTCCTCATCTCCCAGTCCATGGACAGATATCAGGAAAGGCCTGCAAGGAGCTGGGCCTCACGGCAGGAAGTGAGTCACACTGGTAAGCCAAGCTTCATCAGCATTCACAGCTGCTCCCCATGGCTCCCATCACCACCTAAGCTCCACCACCTCAGATCAGTAGAGGCATCAGGTTCTCGGAGGAGGAGCCTAAACCCTACTGTGAGCCACACATTTGAGGGATCTAGGTTACACACTCCTTATGGGACTAACCAGGACTTTCACACACTTGCCCCACGAAACTGGGACCCTGGTGTCAAACAGATTGGGAACCACTGGTTTAGAATATAAGGAACAGGCTGGGGGCCAAGCTCAGGGTGGAGCCCTCACCTAGAATATAATGAACAAAGGAGGGATGGTGGGTCTGACATTGTTGAGCTCAGGTAGCTCACTGGGCAAGATAGCTGAATCCTTGACTATCTTAGCTTGTTTTCATAGAATCGCACCAGAAAGTAGCCTGGTTTGGGAAGGAGAGAAAAAAACCAGGAAATCTCTAAAAAAACTATAAATTGTAGGGCTGGAGATGTAGTTTGGTGTTAAGGGATTTGCCTAGCACACACCCATGAGCTAACAAATAAATAATCCCCCTCCCATAAATTCTGTATGTTAAATTTTCAGTGTCTTATAAGTCTTCTTGTGCTCACAGCATGAAGGACTTATGAAGCTGGGTCAACTAAAATGTAAGGGCCCTTGCTTGATTTTTTTTTTTTGAGGGAGGATGTATACTGAATTCAACAAGTTTAACAACTTGCCCTTGCATATGCTATATAGGCTACAGAGCTCTCTGACATTGTTCTCAATTTAAAATTGAATTTGTCTGTGCTTTTCTCGATTTCTGTTCCCAGTTCCTAAAAATCTCTTTTCCTTCTAGCCTGCTAGTCGATATCCATTTTTTAAAAAAAAAAATTTGTGAGACAGGGTCTCACTATGTAGTTTATCCTGACCTTGAACTCACTATGTAGACCAGGCTGGCCTGGAACTCATGGCAATTCTCCTGCCTCAGTCTCCCAAGTGCTGGGATTACAGGCATGTGCCACTATCCCCCTGCATTGGGTGACATCTGTTTTTGAAAAGATTTGTGGATATCTAATTGATAGACCATACAATTCACCAATTTAAATCATACAACCATCACTATAATCAGCTTTAGAACATATCCCTCACCCCCCCAAAATTTCTGGGCCCATTAACAATCACTCCCCTGTTCTCCCCCAACTTCTCTAGTGGAAGCAATCAGTAATCTACTTTTTTTTTTTTGGTACTGGGGATTGAACTCAGGACCTTGCGCTTGCAAGGGAGGCGCAGTGCCCCTGAGCTAAATCCCCAGCCCTCTACTTCGGATTCTATAGAATTTCCTATTCTGGACATTATTTTTAAAAATTTATTTATTGCTGGACATGATGCCATTTATCTGTAATCTCAGCTATGCAGAAGCCTGAGGCAGAAAGATAGCAAGTTCCAAACCAGTCAGGGAAACTTTTTTTTTTGAGACAGGGTCTCTCTATGTAGTGGAGGATGCCCACAAACTCACAATCCTCAGCCTCCCAAACCCTGGGATTAAGTGTCTGCCACCACATCCTGCTCAACCTGGGTAATTTAGCAAGACCCTGCCTCAAAATAAAAAATAAAAAAGGCTGATGACATAGCTCAGTGACAGAGTGTCACTGAGTTTGATTTCCACTCCCCAAAAGAAAAAGTACTTAACTGGTAACATAAAAGATAAGAATTGTACACGTTAATGAGGTACCACATAACAGTTGATACATGTCAATGTTGTGTAATGTTGAAATCATATTTATCTTAAAGGTTAATGATCAAAAAATATGATAGGGATTTAGCTCAGTGGTTTCGCTGCCTGCTGTGCAAGCGCAAGGTCCCGAGTTCGATCCTCGGTACCAAAAAATATATATATATG